CTTCTTTCTCGATCAGATTGTGAATTCACACACGCAGACTCTCTCTCTTCCTTTCTTTTCCCTCTTTTTTCTCCTTCCTTCACTACAGCCCTCACCACTACTACCACTTCTATTGTTATTGTTGTTATAATCATCATAATTGTCTACTGCTGTGTTGTTGTTTTTTTTAACAAAACGTTAATATTTTCCATTCACTAACAAGAATTTACATGTGCGATCAAAGGCTCGAAAAGCTTTACAACTAGTGCTCAATTGCACTAAGAAAAATATCATTCCTCATCCAAAAGAATGCCAAAGGCATAAGAACTTAATCTTTTACAATTTGTCATATTTTCTTCACTAACTAGCTCAAAAGAGCATATGCGAAACATCTTTTGCATTCAGTAATGTCATCAATCAAAGTTGCTAAACGGCTTTCTGAGGATCTCTGATGCCTTAACTGTCTCAGTAATTCCTTATTGTGGAACAGGATTTTGATCCTGTCCCAATGTCGCCTCATAGCTTTACTTAAGACCAGTTTAACTGCTACCGCATCATCAACGATTATGGTTCCTAGTGTTCTCTCCTTCAGCGCCCATTCTGCAATCCTTGTGTGCTGATATGTCCTATCTATAGCTCCAACTCCAAGTGAACGCTGTCTTTACTGACTTGTTGTGTTCACCTCTAGTATTATGATCCCCTCATCTTCATGCTCTTGATGATGTACTGTTTGGTTGAAAGTTATTTCTCCTGTGCTCATTCTGTCCTTAGTTTTTTCTAGCTCCTCTTGTTCCAACCACTCCTTCTAAGCCTTGTTCATTGTCTTCACTGGTGGACATCTGCTTTGGTTTTCAAAGTCCTTCTTGTTTCTTTCTTTCCACACTTGTCACAGAATATTTGCAATCAATCCAAATGTTGTGCCCCTTCTGGTCTTGTCTTTGCCTCTGTTATTTTGCTCCACCATCGTTTGAAGTCTCCTTGTTGATCTTTTGCTCCATCCCATTGTATAGGGGTCACATTCCATATATCCAAGGTATTTGGGCAGTTTAGGAAATAGATGTTCCACTATTTTCTGGCTCTCTCCACAAGCTCTACATACTGGGTCTCCCATTCCTATCCTTCTGAATATTGCTTCTCTGACTGGCAATGCCCCTTTGATGCACTTCCATATAAACAGCTTAATCTTGTGTTTTATATTGAGCTTCTAAAAAGTATTCCACATCTGCTATAGCTGTTGACATCCTTCCATTATGCTTGGACCAGCTTCTCCTGATTTTGCCTTCTCAGTACTGTCACTTTCTTCCATCATAAGTTTGTATCTAAAACTTACAGAATAACAACCTCCTGCATTGTGTTGTCAAAAATAGCTATTCTCCATGCCTGTTAAGCTGATAGGGATACTCAAAATCCTCTCTGCATCACTTGGTTAAAAGTTCTAAAAATGGTGTTTCTGTCCCATCTTTTATGAATGATAAGCTCGTGCACCATCTTCAGTGGGATGTTAAGGGTCTTGGGGTAGAAGGCTTACCAGAGGATGATCTTGGAATCCATTTATGCTCCCAGATGTTTGTACTTCTCCCATTGCCAATCCTCCTGATCACACCCTTTTCAACTCAGCTTCTGGCTCCTAATAGACCTTGCCAAATCCAAGAGGCATTTTTTTTAGGCTTGCACTTGAATATGAAATCTTTAGGAAAGTACTTAGCTCTCAATACTTCATTGATAAGTAGATTTGGCTTGGTTAATACCCTCTAGATCTGCTTCCCCAACAAGGCCTTATTAAATGCTTCTATATCCTTGAATCCCAACCCACCTTCAGATCTTTTCAATGTCATTTTTTTCCATGACAGCCAATGCATCTTGTTTTTCCCATCTGTCTCTCCCTACCAGTAGTTAGCCATAGATGCAATAATATCTTTGCATAGCTTCCTTGACAGTTTAAAGCAGGACATGGCATATGTAGGCATTGCCATAGAAACTGTCTTCAGCATTACCTCCTTGCCTGCACTACTTAGTAACTTGTTTTTCCAGTCCTGAAGCTATCTTCTTATGTTTTCTCTAATGAACCCAAATACCTGGTCCTTTGTTCTTATTATCACCATTGGGAGGCCTAAATATTTTCCTTATGTCATTTCTACCATTCCACCCAGAGCACTGCATACTTTCTTTCTTTGTTCCAGATTCATATTTTTGCTAAAAAATACAACTGATTTATCTAAATTGATCAGCTGACCTGATGCCTCTTTATACGTTTTGAGGATCTTTATAATTTCATTGGCTTGTTGAATGCTGGCTATACAGAAAATGAGTGAGTCATCTGCAAAGAAGAGATGTGTAATGATAGGCCCTTGCCTACTGATTCTCAACCCCTTTATCTCCTTCCTTCCTTCTGCTTTTCTCAACAGGCTTGAGAAGCCTTCTGAACATATTAAGAAAATATAGGGAGACAAAGGATCTCCCTGCCTTATTCCTCTCCCTGGTGTAACAAAGCCTTTGGTTTCCCCATTGCAGTTGAAAGAGTAAGTGACAGGCTTCAAACAACTTGCAATCTAATTGATCCATTGTGGACAGAATCCCATCTTCTACATCATTGCCTGCAGAAAATGCCACTCCACCCTATCATAAGCTTTAGTCATATCCAACTTGATTGCCATGTATCCTTCATTTTCTTGCCTTTTATTCTTGAGGTAGTGCATGTACTCATATGCTAGGATCATATTATCTAAAATCTACCTATCATGAATGAAAGCTGATTGGTTATTACTAATGCAGATGTCTAACACAGGTTTTAACCTATTAGCCAGAATTTTAGAAATCATTTTGTAAATCACACTGCACAGGCTAATAAGCCTGAAGTTTTTCAAGCAAGTTGGATTCAGCACTTTAGGAATAAGGGAGATGACAGTGTGATTAATAGATTTGAGCATGTGGCTGGTGTTAAAGAAGGATTGAATAGTAGGGATAACATCTCCTTTAACAATATTCCAGAATCTTTGAAAGAAAAAAAATGACATGCCATCCTATCCTGAAGCTTTATCAGGTTGCATGGAGAAAAGTGCTGCTCTGATCTCTTTTTCTTCTATTGGTTTAGTTAGTTTAGCATTCATCTCTTGGGTGATGGAATGGGGAATATCCTCTAGAATCTCTGATATATCACTTCTTCCTCCACTAGTAAACAGCTCTCTAAAATAGTTTGAAATTTCTGAAACTACTTCCTCCTCATTCTCTGTCCATGAGCCATTCTCCTTCTGCAATTTTTTGATTCTATTTATTGTTCTCCTCCCCTTTACATGAGTACAGAAGTACTTTGTATTCTTATCTCCTTCTCTCAGCCAATTGATTCTAGCTTTTTTACTCCAGAAATTCTCTTCCTCTGTGTAGGCTGCTTTTAACTGCAATTTGAGCTCACTTATTTTCTTTTTTCTATTCTCACAGACTGAGTCTTTCACTCCTTCCAACTCCTCCTTTATCTCCTCAACCCTCCTTTTGGAGTTGGCTTTGAAAGTATTTCTCCACTTTAGTAGTTCAATCCTACAATTTCTAATCTTTTGAGTAACTTTGAACACACGTGAGCCAGCTTCCTCTTTCAGCCAGGCTCTCTCCACAACTTGGTGCACCTCTTCCCTCTGAAGCCACCTTCTATCAGAATAAAACCTTTTCTTCTGCTTTTCCTTCCCTGACCAAGTGTTTAAGCACAAAATACTATGATCAGAGGCATAAGTGTCAATGTGTTGACAACTTGCCTTTTCAAAAATCTGGCACCACTCAAAACTTCCCAAACATCTGCCTAGTCTTTGCCTAACCTCACCTTTATTATCCCAAAGGTTACTCCAAGTCCAAGGGTGACCTTCGAATCCTATGTCTACCAAATTATTTTGATCTAGGAGGTCCTTGAAATCTCTAAGGCTCCTCTCTTCCCTAGCTAACCCATCCTACTTTTCCTTATTAGACAAAATATCATTGAAGTCTCCAGCCATCATAAATCTGCTACCCACAACCGTTTTCTTTCTTTCAGAACCTTCCATTGGTTCTTCCTAATCTGAGCATCACAGCTCGCATACATACCTATAAACCACCAGACACATATGAAATCTATATCCTCTATCTTAACTTCAATAGTAAAAGCAGTCTGATGCACTTCCAAGACTTGAGTGTCATTCTTCCACAGCAAAGCCATCCCACTAGCCTTACTCATAGCCTCTACCATAGCACTATTCTCAAACCTCAGGCCTCTAGCAATCCTATCTATAACCTGTTTTCTATTTTTAGTTTCACTTAAGAAAATCAGATTTGGAGAGAAGAGGTTATTCACCTCCCTCAGGCGGGGAACTATCGAGGGGCTCCCCACTCCTTGACAGTTCCACATCTGAGGGAGGTGAATAACCTCGTCTCTGCAAATCTCAAACCTCAGGCCTCTAGCAATCCTATCTATAACCTGTTTTCTATTCTATCCTATCTATAACCTGTTTTCTATTCTTAGTTTCACTTAAGAAAATCAGATTTTGAGAGAGGAGGTTATTCACCTCCCTCAGGTGGGGAACTGTCAAGGGGCTCCCCATTTCTTGACAGTTCCATATCAAGCCTCTCATATTTGCATTGGGCCCCATTCAAAATGGACCCCACCTCCTCTCCTACCCTTTCTGTTTGGACAGCCCCCACCAAAGATTTGGTCTTTTTACACACTATCTCTTGCTTCTGTATATCTTCCATTTCCTCATCACAAAACAGCACCTTTCTTTTGCCATTCCCTACGACACTATGATCCTGCTCATTTATCTCCTTTAAGGGCCTTCTAGTTATAACAGGAGTCTTCAGTTTCCTATAAGATCTTTATATATATTTCTTAATAGCCTCTTGGACCTACAACTCCTAATAGCCTCTTCCTGGACTTCTATCTCCCCTACACTATACTCCTGAATCTTATTTTCCTGGTCTAGCCCTAGTGTTACCATGTCACTATCCTCCTCCATTTCTTCTACCACAACTAGACTTTTCTTCTCTTCCTCTATGGCTTGAGCTGTCTAGGAAGATCTTTGTTTTTCCAAGACCATTTGCTGAGTTGTAGTACCAATAACTCGTGCTGCTTCACTATCATCTAACCTATTTGGTGGGCTACTTTTAAGTTTCCCCAATCTCTTCTCTTCCCCCTCCTTAACTAGGAGTTGTTTGCTTCTGTTTTTCTTATTTGTATTCTCAAGGAACTCCAACAGCCTATCTCCTATTTTTATCCTATTCCTCTTTCTCTCAACCATTTCTCCATCCTGAAATTTCCAGTATCTTCTGTCCTTATTCAATTCAGTTCTCAAAAGTCTTTCCTTACTAGGACTTCTGATGCTTCCTGCTCTCATCCAAGGGCCATATTGGTTCTCTGAGAGCCTTCCTATCGTAACACTCTGTTCTTTATATGACCTCTCACTATGGCCTACAACACCACAACTATAACAGAAGTCTGGGCATCTCTCATATTTGAATACTACCCACTTAAACACATCTGCTATTTGCATCACTGTGCCTCTAAGAAGGGGTGTTGATAGGTCAACTAGGGCCAGTAATTTCAAATGCCTACCCCCCTTTCCCCCAGTTTGAGGGATAATAACCTCCTTTACTTCCTTAAACGCTGCCCCGATCTTCCTACCTACCTCTTTAGTTAACCAATGCACAGGCAAGTTCCATAGTTGCACCCATATTGGCGCTGTAACGAAGGCTCCATAATTTTCTTCAATCCTTTCTGACCACCTTCTAAGTACCAGCACTTGATTATCTATCAACCACGGGCCCCCTTCCACAACTCTTTTTTTATCTTCCAAGTTAGGGATGTTAAACTGGAATAAGTTGGGCCCTAGTTCCATTACTATCAAGTTCTTGGGGTAACTCCATGCTGCAGCTATGAAATTCTTTACCCCCGTGAAGTTAGCTATTTTTCCCCCATTATTCTAGTTATCAAGCTTCCTTCACATCCTCTAACTCCACTGTTCAAATCCTCTAGGTCCAGCGTAGCTCCTAAGAGCTCATTTCCAGCTAAAGAGAATTTCTGTAGCAACTCAATCAGCTCACCCTCCATTGATACTATCAGAGATTCTAAAGGTTATAACTCTTCCGCCCTACAAAAGACAAGATCTTTCTGCCTACGGACTGGGTTGACTGACTCATGCACTGTCAGGTATAAGAGTACTGGGTTCAGCCTGACTCATGCACTGGGTATAGTAAAAAAACCACTAGTAATACACTACCTCAGAATAAAAAACAAGGAAAAAGGTTAAAATAAGGATATCAAGTTTTACCTAGCTTCAGCTTACCATGGGGATTGGCATTTATAATGCTTTATGCTTCCTTTGGTCGAACATCCTTCATGGCCTAAAATTCATTGATTTTGTTTCATTAATGTTGCATTAGATTCAAACAAAATTGTTTCTGATGCTTGAATTGGGAGTTCGTCTGGAAAGATGCGGGAAAGTGAGCTTTTTGAAAAAGTTTGAGTTTTGCTAAAGTTCCCACCACTGGGGGGAAGAAGGTTCTAATCCCAAAAGTGAGAGTTTCCCTCTACACCGAGAGGATGTTAATCATAAGATCATCTTAAGAAAGAACCGTCTACTACTGTGTTGAGTTTTGCCATTTTTTGGCAGCTACATTTTGCCCCAAATTCATGATTACCAATTTTTTCCATGCTAAATTGGGGTCGTGTAGTTGTTTTATTGGTCCTAACCCCTAAGAATTGTTTTAACATAAATATTATAAGATTTGGTGTTGATTTCAGTAAAGAAACAAAAGAATACTTAAATCTATTTCGATTTTAGACCATTTTTGACACTTTCAGCCAATTTATTGGATACAGAATCAAGATCTACATGAAAAATGGAGCTGGGATGAAAATTTGATGAAGTTTCGACATCAAATGATGGCAGCCGATGGCAACCGATGGTGGCAGTGGTAGCATCACTCATACTGTTGATGTCTTGTTTCCTCCAACAAAAATTAGATGAAGGAGAAGCTTAAAAAATAGAAAAGAAAAATAAAAAAATAAATTAAAAAGAAAAATAAAATAAAAAATAAAACAACTAAAGGTCCGTATGGATAGTTGTTTTTGGATTTTATGTTGGATTTAAAATGAATTCATTTGAAATCCATATTACCCATACGTTTGTGTAATTAATTAATTACTAGAATTCGGACTTGTGCTATATATGGGTTAACATTTCACATCAAAATAGTAAAATTATAGTTGCTTAAAAACAAATTATTTGAAAAGAAAAGGTTGAAAGTTGAAGATGGTATCAGTTTTACTCTTAATTTCTATAAAAATTTGTTATTTTAAATGAAAGTAAAGGACAAAACATTTTCAATCATGGAAGCTATGCAATGACACACTCATCAACTTGGAAAAACTCTAAAAATTCTTTAAAATGATCTTTAATTATCATATATTCTTGTGCTTGCCTATAAAAATTTATCCTAATCATAAAAAAATTCCTTTCTTTTGTTATATTATACCCCAAATTTTAGTATATTATTAAACTACTTGTGATTCTACGGATACCAAAAAAATTAAATTATAGATTTGGTATTAGATAACTTTTTGTTCAAATAACCACATTTAAAAAAAAAGAAAAGAAAACACCAGAAATAAATAGAAAAATACCCAAATAAGATAACAAAACATATTATAAAAAGTTCGAGAAATACGGTAAACACATATATCATCACCTTCCTCCTCATTCCCCTCTTCGCTACTCATCTTGTGCTGTAAGTGCACATTTTTTTTGCTACTCTCTCATTTTCCTTTGCCATACTCCCCTAACCTTATAACTCTACTCTTGCCCCTGTCCATCCACTTCCTGTACCCCTGTCCTTGCCCCAGCTAGACCCAGTTTCACTACCCTACGAGTGTACCCGTGCTAATCCACTATTATAACAATTTCTATACTTTATCTTATATTTTCTATATGTATAACACTAATAATGATTTAACTAATCATTTTTTATCTTATATTTTCTATATGTATAACACTAATAATGATTTAACTAATCATTTTTTAACTTTTAGTAAAAAAAATTGACAATGAAATAATGCTAAAAATTGTTTTGATCTTTTGAATTCATTTCTCCATATTTAATATTATATAAAATCTAAACTAATTGCTCTTATTTCTTTGTAAACAACGTACGATATGTGAAAAAAAATAAGTAAACTAACACAACAAATAATAAATATTTTATCATAATATATTAATAATAACAAATCATCATTTTCCACTATAAAATATTATGTTATTCAATTCATATGACAAATAAATAGATATTACATTTTATTAAATTTTATAAGTGGAGGGACCCACCCCTAGCCCTATCTCCTCCATTCTCCCTTCCTAATACTATCCTCATTTCTCTATTGTCCTTCTCTTATCTAGCAACCCTACCTTTCCCATCATTGAAATCCTTTGCCTTCCTGCCACCATGCAAGCCTCACAACCCGTCTATTCCATTCAATATTTTCATCTTCTTCCTACCCTTGTAGTTCTTTCCATTTTGTCTCTCAGTATACTTCTTCCATCTTATCGATTGCCCTCTTCCACCTCCCAACTTATCTTCGCAAATTCATGACCTATATCATCACCATCTAAAAGTATTTGGCCCAACCCGAGGTCAAAATTCTAATAAGTGGAATCGGTGTAAAATTCTTATACCAAATATACTTTAAAAGCATGTGTGATAAAATCTTAATATCCATGTAACCCTCTTATGGCTATCCACTTTACCCCTTATAATTTTTGCATTTATCCACATAATATTCATATATTTTTATACTAGGTGGTTAAACCATTGATTAATTTAGCATTTAAATAAGGGCACTGTTTGTATTTTAACTAATGATGTTACATAGGTTATTTTCGTCAAGTTTCACTTTACATAAAATCATATGAGGATGAAATGGATATTTTAAAATGTTAGGGAAATCATGTGGCAATAGATGAAACCGCAGAAAAGCTATATGTAATTTACCCTTACTACTTTCCAAATCACTCTTTACCTTTGGCATACTAGTGAATCAAGTGCTAGAACCAAAATAAGAAAAATGCCTGAGACAAATAAAAATAAAAAGATAAAAAGTTATTGTATATATCATAATAATGAAATTTCATCATTTAGTAAATTTCACTATTTTCTAAACCCAATAATGTACATAATATAGTAAAGTGTCAATTTAACCTCAATTCTTCAATCTGTTATCGGAAATCAGGTCACTTTCATTATTAAATTATTATAGCCATATTAATTTAATAGATGCACAAGTTATAAAATCTTGATTGGGAACAGAATAACCTGGGGCATTTCCGTGTCTGAATTTTGAAATTGGCATTAGCCCTGAAGGAAAAAAATGAGAGCTTAGTATCTACTAACTTTGCACCCATCATAAAGGGCAAAAGAAACATATAATAGCCAACAAAACAACCACAATTTGCTAGTACGTAAGCAATGTCTCAGCTGCACATCGTTTTTGTGCAACCGAGGTTCCGCGGGGGCCGAGCCGAACCGGTGTGCGATAAGAGCTCACCTAGAACACTGAAAAATGGAGGTCGGGCTTTCACCCTGAGATCACTCCAATACTTAAGTCAAATATTTATTTGGCTTATATAAGCTCGGATAGGCTAGAGTGCATGTCTTATAAGTTAGGGATAATTATAGAAACCTCCCTTGAAGTTTCTGACACTAGCACTTGCCTTCCCTATAATTTTTGAAATAGCATTGACCTCCCTTAAAAAAAATTGGGGCCTATTGTTAAGGTAAAAGTATGTGAATTTACTTGGCTACCCCAATTATTTTCATGTGTCCAGATGAAAGGTTTAATTATTTTCATCAAAACCAACAAATCCTTTGTTAAACTAATTGAACTAATTAAACTATTTGCATGTTAAACTAATTAAACTAATTAGCTAACTAACTAAAGTACTTGAGAGTCCGTTCATTGTCTGATCAGACTTGAAGCATGTTTAAGCATTATTTGTAGAGCCAACTACAAGGCGACAATTGAGGAGGAAGATGGCGCCATGAATTGGCGCCAATTTTTGCTTTGACAGCTCTTAAGGTGACAAGTTATGTACGTGCTCCATAAGAGAGGTAAATGACTGAGAACATTGTGATCATTGAGGGAAGGAAACATAAGAGAAGAAGCTGGAGCTTTTGCTTAGTTCATGAGAGGTTTCATATCCATGAGAGAGGAAGCACAATAGGCAATAGAAATGAACCAAAATCTGAGCATGTATTCTAGTTAATTTGCAAGAATCACAAAATAATAGGTAAATTATTTGTTGTTACTTGAAGGCACAGAATTTGCATGTTTGCTCTTATATGATAATAGGGCAAAACCTAATTACAGTGAATGTATGTTAGCGCTTGCATCATGATTTGAATATGTCAGTAATGATCAATGGCATATGAATGTGATGTTATTCTAGTTGTTTAAGGCTTGCTGCTCTGCTATTTCAGTTGTTTATGTCAGTAATGATCAATGGCATATGAATGTGATTTATTGTAGTTGTTTAAGACTTGGCTATACTATTTCAGTTGTTTAAGACTTGTTGCTCTGCTATTCCAGTTGTTTAAGACATGTTTAGCAATGGATGATGTATCATGATCTGTTTTTGATCTTCATAGCTCTTGTATAAACATGGTGTATTGGTCATTGTCTGAGTTCATGACTGGTCTATAATTGAGTTCATGATTGAATTCTTGTAAGGTGTTGTGATTCATCCTTGCTAAGTAACTGTCACTTTTGAAACTTAGGATGGCTCTTCTTCCTGCTTATGACATATCTGTCCACTATGAGAAGAAACAAGTGATAATTCCAAATGTC